TTACAATTGGCCCAGATAAACCAATTTATTTTTACTCTTAAGGTCGTATGAGGGATCTGTTCCTCAGGGGTCTCATGGGCTTGGGAGGAGCCCCTGGCTCCTTTTTTTTTTTTTACCAGTTCCATCTATGTGAAGATAAGTCAAAGGTCCTGCTCGACCATAGCTGGCTTCGCTTGGAAGCATGGAGGAAATGATTCCTCTGTGTTGACCCTCCTCTTTGTAGACTGGACACTGTGGTTCAAGTCCATCTGGTGGGGTCACCACAGCCTCCTTGATCAAGAGGACAGGTGACTCACCAGCTACATTATGAGAGATGCTCATAGTCCCCTGGAACTTAGTCGACCTAGGAGGGCAAGGAGCAAAATCTGTCCTTTATGGCCCTTTGACCAAATTAGTATAGGCTTCAAAGTATGGCTGATTTAAATTTTTAAGTGTCACTATATGCCAGGCATCGTTCTGGATACTTGGGACGTAAAAGAGGGGAAAAAATCCCAGGGCTGGAGAGACAGCTCAACAGTAAGAGGCTTGCTGCTCTTGTAAAGGCTCAGTTCCCAGCACCCACATAGCAGCTAACAACTGCCTGTGAGTCCAGTGACAAGGACTCTGTCATCCTCTTCTGGCCTCCAAGGGCATCAGACATACACAAGGCACACATACATACATGCAGGTAAACACATATGTAAGATAAAAATATTTTCTAAAAATCTCAAACTTGCATTTTCTTAAACTGATAAAAGGGATGTATAAAACACCTGAAACGAACATCAGTGTACCTGCCAAAATATCAGAAACCTTCCCTCTGATGAGAAGAGAACAGCAAGGATGACCACTTGGCCACTCTCTAGTCTGGCAGCAGAACAGCATGCACGCTTTCAGCCAGCGCAAGGTGGGGAATGAAGCAAAAGACAGAAGGGGCAAAGTGGAGAGACTGTGTCAAGTCCTGTGCAAGCAGACTGGTCATGAGGGTGCATACCTGCAATCCCAGCTCTTGGGAAGCTGGGGCAGGAGAAGAACAAGCTCGAGACCAGCCGAGGTTATCTGGGGACCCTGGAGAGCACTGAGGGGAGGGAGGGGATGGAGAAGATGGGGGGTAGGGGGAGGAAGAACAAAGAAGGAATTCCTACAGACTCTACAAAGCCACTAAAACAAATAGGAGCACATGGCACGGTACAATGTACAAGGTAGAACACATAAAAATCTATCCTATCCCTGTATACTAGCATATAATGAAAATTTAAAAGCCATATCATTTAGAATACAAAAGTATCAATTATCTAATGTGACTGTAATGAAAGAAAGATTTCTACAAAGACTAAAATACAACTGAGAGACTTCAAGAAAGAATTTAATGAAGGATGCTCCATGTCAGTGGTGCAAAGACTCAACGGTATAAAGGTGGCAGCAATCTGAGTCACTTCAACACCAATGTCCAGCAAACACAGGGCAGACTGCATGTGTGACACTGACACGGTGATTCTAAAAGTTAAACAAAAATGCAAGGAGTCAAGAAGAGCAAAGTCGAGTTTACAGAAAAACAGCACTGGGTAGTTAAAACCACCAGACTGCCAGACAGTCAATGAAAGACAGAGCTGCACAACGGACAGAACAACTGAAGAGAACCCACACCTGACCTATGATGAAGGAGGCACTGGAAGACACACATAAAGGAAAAGTCCTCTCAAGATAGGCTGCTGGGTCACCTGAGGACAAATGTTCAGAAAGAGCTTCTCCTTCTCAGACATGAACAAAAGTCAACTACACACCTGCAGGTGTGACTGGCAAAGTGCAGGTGAAAAGGGTAGGCCTCCAACAGGACACATGAACAGTGGTGTGCTAGTGTGGCAGACAGGATACATGAACAGTGGTGTGCTAGTGTGGCAGACAGGATACATGAACAGTGGATACATGAACAGTGGACACATGAACAGTGGTGTGCTAGTATGGCAGACAGGATACATGAGCAGTGGATACATGAACAGTGGACACATGAACAGTGGTGTGCTAGTGTAGCAGACAGGAATACCCTGCTGTTAAACACCAACAATTGAGGAGCTGGGTCACTCAACTGAGGATAGAAGTAGATCTGAACTTCACGAAGGCAGGATTTTTACCCATTTCATTCACCATATGACTCCATGCTCACATATATCACAAACAAAATCTCTGGTATCAGAGTTAAGCCAGGGATTCACTGATCAGACTGGAGGGATGATGACTGGCAAAAGAACGAAGGGCGATTCTGAGAAACCCTCCTCTGCCTCTCAGTGTAAGAGGCTGGTTGCAACACTGAACAGCAGGAAGAAGGGTAGGGACCCAGAAAAGAACAAGCAAAGCCTGAAATGTCTATCATTGGGATTACAACAGTAGCCCCCGAACCTGTCATGCACCCCTCAGGAGTCTGCCCTGGCACCAGAAACCAGAGCTGTAAACTCATGTTCAAAGCACAAGCCAATATCCTCATGACCAAAAAGGACAGTTATGCGTGCTCCAGCAACTCTTCCCAGACGCCACACAGCTCACTCCCACTTCCTTCCTTCAACTGCCTCAGTGTCCTCTCCTCGGCTGTCCTTGGTCACCAGGGGAAATGTCAGTTCTCCTCCCTATCCTCAGCCATCCTCACTCCCAACCGCATTCCCTGTATTCTTAGCTTCCGCAGGACTATTAATACAATGTGTTACAGAATTCAGTCATTTACTATCTATGGCTCCCAACTGGAGTACTAGCTTCCTGAGGACAGGGGTCAGGGTCCATCTGTGTTCCGGTCCCGATGCATCCACAGTGCCTACAGCAGCCTCTGGTATACAACAGAACCTCCACAAGCACTAGCTGAAAGACAACAAACTGTTTTCTTTCCTAAAAGCAACAATAATTAAACAGAGCTTACCCACAGCACAGGTGCCAAACCACCTTTTTGAAGAGAGCGCACCCTACAACAACGAGCACACGCTCACTGTCCACGGGCAGTTTGAGGACACCACACCTTTCTCCTCCCTGAAAACAGAATCTCTATGAAGGACAAAGAAGTCTTCCCTACCTGGCTTGTTTTTCTCAGGAAAGCATTTCTCCATCAAATCTGCAACATTTTCTCTGTATCTGTTAAAAATTAAAGAAGAATGTGTTGTTTGAAGCTGGATGTCACAGGCTGTGATCACCAAGTCACAGCACACATCCCATGAAGCAGCACTGTGTCGCCCTGAGTTACTTGCAGACATTCTTCTAAAGTAAACTGGGCAAACTCCAAAGAACTGTGCTGTTTCACACACCCTCCTTACTTCTACGTGACCATCACTTAAAACTAGAGTTCTGAGTCTGAGATGGTGACTGTGACGGTGACACTGGCATTCAGGAGGCTGGGGCAGAGAGGCAGAGAGGCAATGCCAGTTTTCAAAAAAAATAATAAAAACCCTAGAAAACAAGACAACTCTATAGTTCCTGCCAAGAAATTCTGACAAAAAACTTTTGCCCTATGACCTTGCCCAAAATAATGTAAGTTGTCCTTTACCTAATTTTGGAATCTCTAACATAATTAGGATCTTTCAAGTTATCCTCCCAAGGAAGATGGCCACTAAGCCACTGGATCATGCAATAGCCAAGTATTTCCAGATCACCACGTCTTGATGGGGCTACAAATAAAAGAAGATTAAGTAGAATAAACAGCTTCTATATAATGTCAAGTACATATAAAGCTACAAGATACAGCAGTCCACACATCTCTTTTGCATCACAAAAATTTGACTGTGTAATAAAAATATTGAACATTAGGCTGTATAAAAGAAATCTTACCTTCAACTAGTAACTGACTTTAAAACCCAAATTGGTAAACCTTACGATTTCAAATTAATATTAGTGTAAGAAACAAACTATAAAATCACCTCACATTTAATATTGTCTTCAGAAAACTTGGAGACATTAACAATGTTGCATATATACTGTAAGATTTGGGTGTTGGGCTGGAGAGAGAGCTCAGCGGTTAAGAACACTGACTGTTCTTGCAGAAGACCTGGGTTCGAATCCCAGCACCCACATGGCAACTAACAACTCTCAGTAACTCCAGTTCCAGGGGATCCGACAGCCTCTTCTGTCCTCCACTGGCATTGCATGACATGGGTGCACTTACCTACATGCAGGCAATACACCCATACACATAAAATAAAAATAATGGATATTAAAAAAAAAAAAAAAAAGACTGGGTGCTGTCCCAGCAGTCAGGAAGCAGAAGCAGGCAGATCTCTGTAGTTCTAGGCCAGCTGGGGGTACAGAGAGACCCTCTCTCAAAACACCAAACTGGAAAAAAAAAGTTCCCCAACTTCCCTGTGACTAAGCACATGTGTGAATGTTCCGGCACAGAGAAAATGACTAAGTTATAGGTGACAAAATAAAAGCTACCTGTTATAAAGCTACAGCTACATAAAAAACTGGGGGGGGGGGCAGCAAGGCAACATTTAAATTAAGCTATGGAAGTCCAAAAGGAAGTCCTCGCTGCAGCTGAATGGACTGCCTCACCCCTACACCAGGGCAGTTAGCCATGAAGGGTGGGGCGTACACAGGGCACCTTCTCAAGTACAGGGGTTAGAAGTGAACCTCTGCTCTCCTTCTCTGCCCCACTTTCCCTCTTCAATTCTTAATTTAGCATACTCAAATCTATAGAAGTCAGCTAGAAACATGAGCAGTACCACGGACATACCCACGCCATTATGCGCATCAATGCTGGTGAACTCAATAGTGCCATCGTGACATCTTTTGGGATCTTCTTTGTATTCTTTATGAACTCCCTCTGGGCAGTACCGATAAGCAAGGCCATAGTCTACCAAGTACACCTATAAATTCCCAAGTACCAAATTAAAGACAAAAAAAAAAAATCAATGCAGGTTTATTAATTGAAAGTAGAGAAATCAAAAACTGCCAGTGGAGGTGAATTCACCTATGAGGGCAACCAGCAGCTCTCCAAACAAGTTAAATCCAAAATGCACACAATAGCAAATACTCAATTCTGATTATTTTGTTTTAGGCAGTGCTAAGAACTGAACCTAAAATTCCCCATAGGATAAACAAGAGCCATGTTGGGTGTGGTGGTGGAGACAGAGGCAGGTGGATCTGAGATCAAGGCCAGCATGGTCCACATAGTGAGTTCCAGGTCAGTTACGGCTACAAGGAGACCCTGTCTCAAACAAATAAACAAACAACAAAACTTATTTATTCTCCCTGAGTCTAACTAACTCAGGGTCTCACTCTACTACTGAGCTGTAACCAACCCTCCCACCCAACTTTTTTTTTTTTTTTTTTTTTTTTTTTTTTTTTAAGATAAGATCTCACCACGTTGCTCTGGCTGGCCTGGAACTCAAACAGATCTACCTCCTTCTGGTTCCCAAGTGCTGGAATTAAAGGTGTGTACTCTCACACCGAGTCTTTTGACTTTTACTAAGTATATTACATGACAATGAAGCTGTAGTCCTTACAATATTATTTAACTTCATACATGTCCCTACGTGTGCTCATGTTGTGATTAACCTTGTCTCCTATGCAAGGCTTGCAGATTTGACACTTTTCTTACAGCATCTAGAACAGACTGCACTTGAACTAGCGGTACACTTTCCACAGAGAAGCAAGACAGGCACTGTGGCGCGCACAGCGGTCTCCTACTCCTTCCTTCTTGGCTTGTGAAACAGGCGCCTGTTTACTTCATAAAAACAAGGGTCATCCCAATGGTCAGAACTCCTGGATGAGGCTGTCACCTGCATTTTCAGTCCTGCGTATTAGTCACGTCTTCAACACTAACCCTACTTAGGAAATAATGGCTGCAGGAATACCTGTGAGCATGTGCCTGATGTTCTAATTATCATACATTAATGTTGGGCTTCTATGTAACAACCAAAAATTACTTCTCTAGCACAAGTGAAATGTGTGGCATGATTTGAACATAAGGTATGTAACCCATAAGGATGGATTCATACTTGAAGAGTAGTCCCATGGAAAGAACATGCCCAAAAGGCAACAGAGCTGCATACTGCTGCAAGAAAACAGAAGCCACATGCTTTCAGTCAAGTGCAAGCCAGTATGAGCTGGATTTCTATAGCATTATACACAGTCTGACCGCATCAATTAATGGGGCCTCACTAATCAGGTTAGTGGTGTTCCCACTACGATGGCTGGGAAGCACTGAGCTGAGCTGAAGCCCGGCCCACTGAGCTCACCAGCAGCCTACTACACAGCGGCTTTCTTCTGCTGCACAAAGAGACCCTTCCAGCCACCACGGCTGACATAGGGTAGTAAACGCACTACGACAAAAAAAGGAGGCGACCAAAAGGAAAAGAAAGATCTAAGCAGGAGGTGGCTAAGAAAGAAAGGAGCAGCAAGTACACCAAATGCTGACAAGTCACTGCACAAAGTCAAGCACCCCACACACTGACCATGTTTAAACCTTCCTTCTTATATAAGAGTAAGTAGGAAGTAAGAATCAACATTAAGTCCAGTGGCTCACCTGTGCCTGTCAACTAAAGCTTACTTTCACAAGAATCACGGAAATGGCTATTAAGAAACTTGTATGGTCGTTCCATTCCAACTAAACTAACCCAAGGTATCTAACACTGACTTTTCTCCTTAAACAGTAAAAATGACAAAGGCAATGTAAGAAACTGGAAAAAAAAAAAACCTCATCTGAATTCTCATCACTAAGGATATACAAATTTAGACAGTTCAGATATTTCTGTAAACCAATTGATTTGAATAATCAACACGTTAAAGACCAAATTTTCCAAGTAACAGAACACTTAGATTTGATGGATTTCTTGAACAAAGGAAATTTTAAAAGTGACAAAGCAGACAGGCAAACCTAATTCACTGGTGTACTATATAATTTTAAGCTTCCACCCCCAAACAGCTATTTGAAATTCATTTTGTAACACAAGCACTTCTTCTGAATATTATTTAAGGCAAAGTAGCCAACTTGATAAAAGTGCCAGCAAATTACAACACAAATGTAGAATGGTAACTACACAAAAATGTCAGTAAGAGATACTATTTTACCATATCTACTTCAAAAAGTCAAACTTCCACATGGGTTCAAGAGTTCAAAATAACCCTATCTGTTCAAACACGTTTTAAAGGGCAGAAACGAAAGCTGTGGCGACCTGGTCGGGGTTCTTGCAGCTCAGGAGCAGGTTGGAAGCCTTGATGTCCCCGTGCACATACTCATGCTCATGGATGTATTCCAGGATGTCCAGCTGTGAACACAGCACAAACAAGTGAATGCAGTACCTGACACAACCAGCAGAGGACTAGATTCAGCAAAACCAGCCTTGGCTGAATTAAGAACATTTTTTAAAAGTAAGAACAGCATAGCTCACATACAATTCTTAAGCTGAGCTGCAAGACAGTTTTCCGAGAAAACCTTTTGGCATTTGCTTCATATATTTTCTGAAGGTCACTCCCAAAGCGATCCATTATCATAAACCTGTAACTAAAGACAAACGAGAAAAACCAGTGAGGGAAACAGCACTAGGGAAAACATACTTGCAATGAGTATGCTCTCTTCAGATTAATTACTTCAAGTTAATGTTTAGCAAGACAGGACTCTAAAAGGGGGAAAAGAAGAACTAAGTACACACACTGTATGCATTTCTCCCCACCAGAGATCTGGAGAAGGCAGAGTTCTGTGTGTCTGTCCTGCCTCTGACCTCCAGGCCCCTTCCTGAGCTCAGCCTATCACAGTGAGCATGCTGGCACTCCACAAAGCTTGGTACCTCCCTTCTGATAACTATGCTGCTCTATGTCTAAGGTGTATCTCAGCATCATGAACATTCCATTAAAACACAGACTGGGGGGCTGGAGAGGTGGCTCAGAGGTTAAGAGCACTGACTGCTCTTGCAGAGGACCCGGGTTCGATTCCCAGCACCCACATGGCAGCTACAAACCTTGACTCCAGTTCCAGGGGAATCTGAAGTCCTCTTCTGACCTCCACGGCACTGCACAACACAGGTGCACTCACATACATGCAGGCAATATACTCATACACATAAAATAAAAATAATAAATATTTAAAAAATTACAGACTGTCAAGAGATGCCTTAATAGCTGCATTTAATACAGTTATTCAGTTAAGTTGTTCAAATTAACACTCAAGGGCGAAGGTTTGGAAAAGCAGCGTCTGAGAGAGGTGAAGACTTCTGACTTTGCCATTGAGCAGCCACAGCTAGTGGCTGCTACTTCACGGGGCCATGATTTCTAGAGAGGCAAACTAGGAAGTGGGGTCTCCTCTTCCCTAGGTTCTCCAGTTCTCGAATCTGGAGACAGTGCACTGATGCAGGGACACTGCTCAGCTTTCCCTCTGAGGACCACTTTTATCTTCAACAGTATTTCAAATGCCAGCTTTTCTAGTTAAATCTTCAAAACGGAAAAAAAGCCAAGACAAATATAAGATCATATTCCAGGAGGAATGAGGCCCTGAGGCACAGTGTCAGTACCCGTGCATGCTGAACGCCTGCTCTGCGCACTGCAGACGCTGCCAATGCCCTTCCCCTCACAGCACTTCCTCTCTTACAGAGAAGGCTGTAATTTGGGTAGGACTATGCTTGTAACCATCATACTACACACACAGATAAACATCAGCAAAACCCCAAAATCCCACTTAGAGTGCAGGCTTTTATGACAACTGTACAACAGGGTGACTTACAAGCGAAGAAAAGTCAGCTAATACTAAGACGGCATAATAAATACAAAAATTAGGATCCTATCCATGGCTGAATTGGAAGAGAGTTAAGAGATTCTATCTATACATCTTTTAATGAATAAAATAATATTAATGTCTAGAGGTAAAGTTATTATGTCTCAAGCATACAATCTGTTGGAAACAAAAGTTATTCATTCCTTAAGATTTCCTGTTCCTCTGACCTCTAAAATAATGAAGAGGCAGTCATTTGACTTCCTGATTCCCTTGGTAGAGCAGGTTTTGAAAAGTTGAGAGATGAGACCAGGACACACATACATGTTTGCTTTTACAAAAGTTATGCATCTAATTATTATAATAATATATGAGTAACAAAAATATAACCTCTGCTGACAGTTTGAAAGAGGGTTAAGCACCAACTGCTTAATTCAACATAGGGTGTATTAATAAATCACATTAAGCAGTTCCTTGTCTTCATGCACAGATCACCCCGCCAGTAACTCTAAACAATCCCTTAATCTCACCATTTTAAAATTACAAACAACTGAAGCATGATTCTATAAACTGAATACAAACTATTATCACATCCTCCTAGAAAGAGGCATATGGCTGAGTAGCAAAAAGAAAGCTGTATTTGAGTAACTCCTGTACAGCAGGGCCTTTGATGCATGCTCTTCTAAGGACCCGGCAAAAATGCTTCAAGTAACAGGAAAACATGAATCAGTATAAATGATTTCAAAACTGTAACAGCAAATATTTCTTAAATCCTAGTACTGTTCTAAGCTACCTACCTACCTACCTACCCACCCACCTACCCACCCTCCCCAAATGGGTGACAGGGAAAGGTAAGGATTTCTGGCAGGGGAGGAGGCTGGAGTAATAATCTTATTTTCTAGACACTGTTTATTCTTAAGAGCTTCAGCTTAAGTATCAATACTTCATACGTGACTAGTCTGAGTCACGTGCTCCTTTGAAGGAAAGAAGTCTAACCACCTTAGTTTACAGAAGGAATGGGCTGAGAGGTAAGGCCGGCACTGGCAAGCAGTGCACCCAGACGCAGGGGGGACCCTGCAGCTGTAGTCACTGTACTCTGGAACCCTCAGGTTCCTTCTAGTAGTGCCCTTGGAAGACAGCCAGCCTTCTGCCCACTGCCTCTCTCAGGCTCTGGTCATCTCACAGCAAATCTGTTCCAGCAAAACTGTAACAAAATGGTACACATGGTTTCAAGGAGTCACACTCTCCAAAAGGTATGTGGACCTCAAGTAAATAACGCTGCGCACCTTCACAGTGGCTGCCCCGGTCTCAGGTCTTCCCCATCAGAGCACCAGTTTGGTTTGGGCACTGCAGGGCAAGGGTGCACTTATACACATGCAGGCAACACAGTCATCACATATAATAAAAATAAATAAATAAATAAATGAGAATTAAATCTGACCAAGAAACCATTAGAGAAGTCTACAGAAGTCTACGGGACTCCAAGAAAGGGCCCTGCTAGGAAAGGAAAACTTACAGGATGCTGATTCTTCTGTTACTGAACACCATGTCTGCACAGTGAGGTATCAAAGTGGAGCAGTAACTGATAATACGCAAAGGAGAACTACCAGAGAGATAAACCACGATGAGGGCAAAGGTGCCAGGCAAGTCAGGAGCAGTAATGCACCCATGAAAGCCAGCACTCAGGAGGGTTATGACAGAGGACCGAGTTCAAGGCCAGCCTGGGCTACACAGCGAGTTGAGGCCAGGCTAGATAGCCTAGGCAAGGAACCTGGGCCCCTGAAACTGCTTAAGATAGTCATGGCAAAGCTTTCCTTCACCTGCTGTAGCCTCTAACCGCAGTCCAAGCCTGGGGCTCACACCTTTCCTACCACTAAGTTTAATACGTTCATTCAGATATTTCAGACACAGATTTTTGCATAAAAATATCAGGGGTTTTCTCCAACTCCAACTCCTAAGACCTCTAAGAGGCAGAGATCATACAAGCTAGCACCTATTTTTCCTCTCACGTTTCGGGAATGTGGTCTCTAAATGTGTGTTCCTCTACCTAGACAAGTCCTTGATTCTCACTTCCATAGGCAGGCAGATTAGGCATTTAACATGAAATATCAAAGGAATCCTAAGGACTCTTGTGCATTGGGGGGGGGGAGGGGGGATGCGACACAACACTTCTATTTGTCAGCAGGATTCCAGTCAGTTGACACTGTTCCACAGAAGGACTCGGACAGCCCTCCTCGCTCCCCTTCCCCCCGTCCCTTCTAACAGCAGACCTGTAGGTATTGTGGGTACTCAGCAAGTAATTCTTGACTACACCAACTGGACAGGAAATGTCCAAAATACAGATTTACCTTTTTCCATTTTTTTCATGTAGACCAGATCCCCAATACTTAGGAACACCAAGGTACTTCAATTTATGGGCACGAATCCATTTCTGAACTGTAAGTTAAAACAGAGGTTTGTGATATCAACTGCTGGATACAAGCAGCAATTTCAAAAGAAGTTATTAACAGCAGAATGTACTTATATATGCAACAAAAATACCTTTATTCATAAAACAGGAAGACCATAGTATAACCCGCAGCCAGTACAATAAAAAATTTTAATCAACCGACAAAAACTGATATCCTGCCTTTAACCATCTTTGAAATCTGAAATTTGTGAAAAGCACCAGGTGCAGTTGATCTAGTTATGTAAATGCTCGCTTCCTTCCACAAGACAACTCACTTCTTACTCACTTCTTACCCCATATTTATACATGTGGGGCTTTGCTCTTCGATTGTGTATGGGGGTCTTTTTGAGACAGGGTCTCCCTGTAGTCTCAGCTGGCCTGGAACTATGTAAACCAGGCTGGCCTTGAACTCACAGAGATCCACCTGCCTCTGCCTCTAAGTGCTGGAACTAAAGGCCTGTGCCACCACATCTGGCTTGCCCTTCAATTTTTATGTCTTCTTCGCCTTGCAAATCAAGATCTAGAAGCAGAAGAAGCACTGCTCCCATCCTACAAGAAGTTTTAGATCCTCAAATTGGGGGAAGCCAGGCGGGACAGAGCAGCCAGCCAGGGTCTGCTCTCCCCCAGCCTGCAGGCTCTATCTGCCAAGGTGCTTGCCCCAGCTGAGTGCTCCAGGATTTAGCTAAACCTTGAATCAAACTCATGGGTCAGGCTACTTCACAGCACTTCCAGGTCACCTGTCACTGCAGATCCTTATTTTATGTCAACGAGTCCATAAAGAAACCAGAACTGCTACATGAACAGCATTTAAATGGGATTTACTTACAAAGCAAAACATAACAGAAGCACATGACACGATGTTCTAACCTTGGCTTATACAAAACAAAGTGTTCATTTTCAAATTATAAACATGTTTAGTGTACTCTTACTTTGCTCTGGTTTAGCAGCTCGCTGGTAGAACTTTAATTCAGTAAAAAGAGGTCCATTGTCACTGGGTTCCTTAAAGTGTAAGAATCAATTAAAATTAGTTATTTTCAGTGAACCTTCAAAACAGAATAAATTCAATTTTTCTTTCAAAACAATGTAATTTTGATGCTTAAGTTTATAAACTATTAAGATTAAATTCAAATCCATGGACATATTCTAGATGTTCTCACAATAATCTCTCTTCTTTTAAGCTCAATTTTCATACGTGATAAATTATACAAAATCAGATCTATAGTTCAGCCTTTGCAGAAAGAAGTTTAGGGAAACGTTTAAACTAATTTTCATCTTTATTAAGCTTTCCTTTAAGCAAAGGCCAGCAACCATGTTAAGTGTATCACCAAGGGGCTACAAGATATTTCTGAGATTTAATAAAACTTCAATACCTGCTTAAACTAATTAAAGACAGAAGCCCGTTCCTTCCTGCTGCTTATCAGGGCTCCACTGGTTATCAGAACTGACAGAAATGCATTCTGGAATTCCACAGCAAGAAGGCACAACTATAACCTTTTCTTCCTGATTCCTCTGTTTTTCAGACCAAAGAATCCTACAACTTTTTTTAAGTCAAAAAGAAATGAGCTAAATAACAATTTGCCCATCTTTACTGGACAAGATTCATTTCCTGTTTCAAGGGATATTAACAATTTTCATCATCTGCAAAGAAGCACACACAAACAGGTTCTGCACACAAGAAGAGATGACAATGCACAGAGTTTAGCTCGTTTACTATATGAGGGAGAAACAGCTTACAGTCTCGTGGACTTTTTAAAAGATGAGTGTTGTCTGACTGAAACGGGGTAGTGTGTATTACCGTTGGATATTTTATATTAGTTTAAAGGGTGACAACTTCAAATATGGAAGCAAACAATTCTAAACTAATATAAGTAAATTATTTTGGTTAGAAAACCTGCATGGCTGGAGTTCAAGGCTCAACAGCTCATTCGAAGAGCTGGCAAATGAGACTCATTACCTTAACAGAGATAACATGAAAATGAACTTTTTGGCCATTGGAGATGCCTCTTCCAAATACTTCAAATACATTCACTTTTCCCTCATTTGAAGACACCCTCAGTTACTGCAGAAGTTAATTTCAATCTTGAAGTATCAAGAAAAACCTTCATTGCATATATCCTATTATCTCCAAAGTACGGAAATTCTAACAATGGGTATCTGCAGTTACAGTGCTTGCTTACAGAAAGACTGCTCACCTGCAGTCAAACAGTACCTAGTTATGAATGAACAGGTAATCAGAAAGGGGATCATAATCTAAACACAGTTTGCCTTAGGGGTTACAATGATCCTCGGAAGTGTACACAAGGGGTCAGCATGCCATCAAGCCCTTACACAGGAACAGGGAGGTGTACTGAAGTATTAATGGCAAGCCTCTGATCTGTGTGCTCAGCAACAGCCTCACCCACACCAGTGACTCCTTTCCTAGCAGCATCAGGGTCAGATACATGGGGGGGCTCTTTCAAGCCAGTGACCAAGCAAGAGGCACAGAAGCAATATAAGAAAATTAGAAAGGCTGGGTGTGGTGGCATACACCTTTGATCCCAGCACTTGGGAAGCGGAGGCAGGTGGATCTCTGTGTGATCCAGGCCAGCCAGTTACATAGTGAGACTGTCTTATAAAAAATTAAATTTTTTTTTTAAAAAAAGTGAAATTAAAGTAAGAAAAGGAATTTAGGTTAACTTTCAAAATGGCTCATTAATAAAACTCAGGTGGGAGGCAAAGGCAGGTGGATCTCTGTGAATTCGAGACCAGCCTCGTCAGCCTCGTCTACATAGCAAGTTCCAGGCCTGCCAGAGCTACATAGTGAGACCCTGTGAAGGGAGGGGAGGGAGGGAAGAGAGGGAGAGAAAGAAGGAAAGGAAAGAGAAATGAATAAAAAGGAATTTTGGTTAACTTTCAAAATGGCTCATTAATAAAACTCTGGCTTAAAGGAAGCTTTCCTAAGACCAGTCTTGGCTTATTACCAACAGTATAAAATTTTGATTTATTCAGTTTCAACCTTTGTCATATCAACTTTAATTTTCAAGTTTCCTTCAGGCAATAATTTATTAAACTTATACTGATGCGAACCACCCACAGAAGACAGGCCGTCATGATGAAAGCCGTGCTGCAGTGAAGGCTTCTAAGCTCGTGTCATGGGTTTTCTAGTCCAGCAAGCTTCCATTCTAGCAAAGTAAAGGAACGGCTTCCCTGGCACTGCACTCGGCCACAGCTAGCAACCTCTGCTCAAGAAATACCTTAACTCACAGCAAAAATCGTATTAACATATTTCAAGTCTCAAATACTCTGCCAACTCTATAATAGCCAAGATTCAGAAAAGAAATTGGGACTGACATTTTAGCTAGAATATCACTAAACGTTTCCTTACGACTTCTAAGTGTCAAAATGAAGATGACAACAGAAAAAAATTAAAATGTGATATATTTCAATGGCACCATCCAAAAGCAACTGGCTGCCATTTAAAAATGAAGATGTACAAAGTTTCTCATTCTTACCAAGAAAAATTAAGATATCTGAATTAAAAATTCTGATCGCTTCTCATAATGTCAATGAAAATGAAACATCAGCCACAAACTTCCTTCCAGGTAACTGTGAAACACAGATTCCCACCAGTTAACACGAAAGGACCACCAGACCACAGACTACCAGGTTCATGACCCCAAAGTCTCGGTTCAGACTTCCAGTTCTGCTCCTGCAAAGGGTGAGCGCTACTCAAAGAGCTAAGTTCTTTCTAACTCTTGAGGCTGTCAGTAAAAAAACAGAAAAGAAAACAAATCGGATTTTTCTGCTGGCATTATCCAACCTACTACTCCTCTCTGTCACTCCAACTGCCTGAAAACAAAATACACAGCAGCATAAGCATGCTGTCCCTGGTGACACAGTGGCACTATCCCACAGCTTCCTGTGAAGGCCAAGGACGAAGGACCCACACAGAAACAGAAGCAACACTGGATAAGAGGGAGAGTATTTGGTGAGGTGTCTAAACACCTCTCTTGAATACCTGTCTTCACTTCACTGCAATGCCCGATGCAGGAGTTCAAAAGCAAAGCAGGTACATCAGCACTAACTGATTTTTTATAAGTCTTCCACGTTAAGGTGAACAGGGTACATACAACCTCCCACTGAAGGAGAGGATCTCAGAACAAGGCTAAAACTATGCAGACATGGTCCAATGAAGCAGCTAAGATGCCCTGTGTCCCTGGTTCTCCATCTGGATACAAAGGATCACCTGATTGACTTTATTAAAAACACCAGTGACCAGGCCCTACGCCCAGAGACTGATTACAAATTGACAACTACTGCCTGGCATGTGATTACATTAAGTCTAACCTCACAACTGACCTGTATTTCTTAAATAACCTGTTGATTTTTGCTTTGAAAATAAACCACATGGAAGTATTTTTAAATTTTTAAAACATAGAAGTCTTCTTCACAGAACATTTTATAAAGCAACCTTCACAGGTACAGTGAGCTTAAGATCCTGCTTCCCTGTCAGATATGACATTGGTCCAATCAGTAGTACATGTTCTTTGAGAGCATGATTCTTGGGCTAGAGATGCAGCCTGGGAGGAGAACAGTCCAGTTCCTACTCACTCGCCCCCACCCCAGGAGACTTTGGGTTCAATCTCTAGCACCACTACCACCAAAAAAATAAAAAGTCTTTAATAAGCCTAATGTTTAAATGGCATATGTTTTGATTTTAACACAGAAAAGATGTGATATTCATTTTCCATGCTAGTATTTGATAGCCTATTTCAACTTTGAATATTATAAAGCTATAAGAAGTTAAATTATGATCTGGCACCAAGAAATTAAAGATAAATGACTAGAAAGAACAGCAAAAAGACGGTGGAAAATTATAGTTTAAGAAACATTTAGAGCCAGACATGGTGGGGCACGCCTTTAATCCCAGCACTCAGGAGGCAAAAGCAGGCGGATCTCTGTGAGTTCCAGGTCAGCTGGGGCTACAGGGAAACCCTGTCCCAAAAAGGCCAAAAAAAAGAAAGAAACATTTAGAAGGATAAATAAAATAAGCATTTCAAGGACTGCGTAAGAAAAAGTTTAAAACAAGGTCATTATCAGACAACTGAAAAGTCTAGTTAGAGGAGGTCCCTTTCTAACAGCATGAAAAGAATATGAGAAGCGAAGCTGTGAAGTTGGTGTTCACACAGCAAATGGTCCAAGAATTCAAGGACTCAAACACTCGGCTATCAGGGCGAAGCAGCAGCTAGCTGCTACAGACCCCTTTAAAAAGGAGTCAGTGTGGGGATGCAGAGATGGATCTGCGGATAAGAACACTGATCTTGCAGAAGGTCCAGGCTTGAATCGCAGCACCCACATGGCAGCTAACTGTCCGTGACTCCAGTTCCAGGGGATTTGACAGCCTCTTCTGACCTCCACAGGCACTGCATGACACGGGTGCACTTACCTACATGCAGGCAATACACGCATACACATAAAATAAAAATAATAAATTAACAAAAAAATAAAGAGTCAGTGGCACGGCCTCAGTCAGGTTATTCTCCCAGGATCACAAGCTGCAATACTGAAAAAAGCTATGGAACAGAAATACAAAAGAGCCCAACCGATCACCGCCGCTGTCTTCACTACAGAAAGAAAAAGGATAACAGAAGTAAAAGTCGGGGATGAAGAATACTAGACAGAGTCTTAAACAAGTATCTTAAAAAGTTTGCTCCATTTAAGTACCCTATCCATTTTTCTCTTAGCTATATACAAGTTAAAAAGGCAGTAAAGGCGAAGTCCGTTAAGTGACAACGTAAGCACTTCTAATCACTTATGACAATGATCCTAATTCTAATATAAAACATCACCTATGTAAAGTCAGGCTGTACAGAGAAAAGTCATGGTTACACACCAACTCCATTTGAAGACAGGCACTAGACTCTCCTTCCAAGACATGGAAACAAGTATGTAAAGCAAGCAGCTGCAGCACAGCCCCAGGTCACTGTGAGAGGCGTCCCTGAGGCCTGCTTCCTTCTCATAAGATGTGCAGAAGAAACTAATCCCACCCCACAGATGTAGTATTTTAACTTGTAAAGAAGACAGAGAAAACATTCTGCAATTCCATGCAAATGACTAACTTAAAGGTAAGAACTTTAGTTCCTCTGACTCAGCACAAGCTTCACAGTCCAAAAGGAATGCTATTCCAAAATGAACATGAGCCTTCCAGACCCAAAGGACAAAATACAAGGAATGTGTCATGAGATGCAGGTGCTGGCCTGGACTCAGAGCAAGCACTTTCCACCAGAACACAAGGAATGGGGTCAGATAAGGCTTCCAACCAAAAGCCACACTAACAGGGAAGGACCAGTGCTGCGTTCCACAGCAGGAGTCTACAACATTCACCGAGACCAGAAACGAAGTGAGCACCTCTTGGGACCAGGAGTCAGAAGACAGTGGGGCAGAGTGGAGCCCACGAGAGACCCAGTGCAGTCCATCAGCCTGACTCTGACGCCAGACCCAGCTAGACCAGAAAAGTCTGCATTTAGAAATACTGTAGGAAAGAAAAAAAAAAAAAAAAAAAGATCTATATGTCTTATTAATAAAGACATGAAAAAACTTCAAAAGGATATTAGCAAAAAGCCAAACAACCCAGTTATTAAAAATAAGACTGAAGAACCACTTATACACACAAAAAATACAGATGTGTGGCAATAAATACAATGAACAAGCCTCAAGATAATGTTTACCCAACAAAGCTAACTGCAGCCACAGGGGACAGCAGCACCCACCCTCCCACAGCTGGGCAACAGCAAACCAACAAATCGGGCGTGCAAGTACACAGAGTAAGCAGAGTGCTCAACGTTGGACACACACACACACACACACACACACACACACACACGGCGCATACACGAAGGACTGCACGCTCCACCTGGGTGAGCCTGTAAGACACACTAGCATGCGTGTCTGCGCTACAGCATCTACCAGGTAACTAACTCTACCACAGGAATACCTGAGCAGGGCAAAAACAACCTCCGAAAAGTCACTGTTCTCAACATGAGGCAAGCGGCGGTTTCCGTGACAAAGGACAGAGGGATCTCTGGGAGTGACAGGTTTCCATTCTATGAGAGCAAGAGTGAAGCCCGGGCCTGCTCCTGTCAGAAGCTTCAAGTTGCTCATTTATCAGCTATCTACTTCACTGTAAAAGTAACACTTAATAAATGTCTTTTAAAAACCAGTAAAACGATTCTAGTCTAAGACACTTGACGCCAAGGAATCAAATATACTTTTATTTGAAAAAAATACAACAAAATGAAAAAGAAAACCCGGAGGGCATCTAACTCCTGAGTTCTAGAACCTTTAGGAAAAGCAAAGGACAAGGGACTATGTGTTAACCTCCCCAGGTAACCCACTCTGCTGGCTCGTCTAGTTAAGAAAATAATATTTTTCATATGCATCCAAGCTGGGGAGAAGGGGGCTACAAATGTAAGCAAAAAGATGCAGGATGAGAAACAAAACATTGACGCAAGGGAAAGCGTCCCGTGGGTGCCGGCCTGTACTGGTACCACATCCTGTCGGTGTGCTCCTGTCCCTCGGCTGCTGCCCATCTCTGCCCATCACAAGCTAATTCCAGCACGAGTGCAGCAACAAAGTCTGCACAATTGCAGGGAAAAAATAATTTAACTAAGATGAACAGGGAAGGGGAAAAAAACTGAGAATAAACAAGGGGGTTGTCAAATGAAAGTCCAGGGAGAAATATAAAACAAAATATGATGAAATTACATGAACTTAGCATAGTTGCAAGATATAAACAGCAGGAGCATCATGCAGTGTAAACAGCAGACTATTCCCAGGCCATTCTGCAGACCTCTCTGCTTTTGTTCAAATAGCCTCAAATTATGCCACTCTAATTCAAGAGAGCACAGGGACTTTCCGAACTCAAGTTATTTAAAACTATAAAGCTACTTTTTTGTCTCATTAAATATTTACTGAACATTATTAACAAGGTAATACCTTATGGTTTAATTCTAGTTATCAAAAAGGGTATTTACAAAATAAATACTAAAATGTTGAGAAAAGAAATTAGCTAAATATTTTCTTACCACTTTTACAACACAGGGTGCATCGCTGCCAACCGATTTGGAAGAATTTGTATCAGCTGTTTAAGAAAGTGAAATATTTAACATCAGAACAAGTAGCATTATTATAAATACCATATTAGTATTTCGATCTATATATCCATAACCCTTTGACAGAATAAATTTCAATTCCCAAATATGTTTCAGAATATTATTACAATATATCTATTCTAAGACTTGTTCCGTGTCTTAACGTGCTGAAATTGGAGTGCATCTTACAATTTCTGGTTTCTTCAATTTGATCAGCTGTTATCTACAGGAAACCCCAAGTTATACAAAATTAAGTTTATTTCATTCAAAAGTACTCTGGTCTTTGATATGCTGATATACACTGTGAATCCCTGGGAGGCTGATAACTGATGTGGTTTCTTAAATTTAACAAGCTATGAAATCCTTTTAGGAGAGAACATCTGGAGGGTAAGAAAAGGAGTTGAAATTCAAACTCATCCAGATCAATACTAGGGCCTAGCCCTAGAACTTTTCACTGCACCCAGAATGACTGTGATGTGGCTGTGTTGGTACTCCGTGCAAATGCAGCAGCTGCCCCACAACACCTGAGTTAACAAGGTTTTCCATACTCATTAACAAATAACCTCCAGTAGGCCACCTCCTGGGAAACAAGGATTTAGTGATGGACAGGAAAACAATCCTGCTCTTCTAGCTACCATCCGAGAGGTACGGTGCAGACACCAAATAAAACGCAAAGTGGGCTTGATGGTGTTAAGAGTGACGGCGGGAAATTACGCAGCAAGCGGGCAGGCAGGGCTGCAAGGACATAAAAAGAAACTTCACTGAAGAGGCACTGCTGAAGCAGTGGGCGAACACGCACGCACAAGGATTCACAGGACAGCACTCCGTGAAGACTAGCACGAAGGCTCTGCTGTGGGAGAATGCCACACACGCGAAAAGCCTACATAGAGCAGATGGAGACCAAGGCCTCAAGTGAGAAGTGACTGGAGGCAGGTCAGAAAAGCAGCAGAGAGTAAGCACAGGGGACCCTCAGGAAGCCTTTGCAGGGAAGACTGGCATGATCCGACCCTGACTGGGCAGTTCTGGAAGAACGGTATAAAGGGCCAGGGCAGAAGAAAGCAGACAGCTGAAGTTCAGTCACTCCAAGGGAAAATGGCTGAAGCCAGCAAGCAAGGTGGTGCCAGGCAGACTGGCCAGAGACTCACAGGACAGCTAAGACGGTGTGCTGGTAAACTGGATGCAGGTCTAGGAGGAAAGCACAGACCTTTCCAGGGTTTACTCTAAACAGCTACAAAGAAGCTGCTACTGCTAATAGGGAAAACAGCAGCAGGAGAGACCGTGCTTTGGGCTATCCTGTCTGGGATACTTATTAAACATCCAAGTTCAGGTGCTGTTATGTTTGAATCTAAAATGACCCCCAGACTCATGTCTTGAACAATTAATCCCCATCCAGTGGCACTGTTTTCAGGAGGCTGCTGTTTTAGGGGACTGTGAACCTTTAGCAGGTAGGGCCTGACTGAGAGGAGTAGGTCACTGGGTGAGGGCCTGTGACAGTTACAGTCCTGCCCTGGCTCTGACCCATCTCTCCACTTCCTCACCTACTGCACCCTGAACAGCTGCCCTCAGCACACACTCGTAGGGGCATGGGCCAAGCCACTGGAGGCTAAACTTCTGAGGCTGTGAGGCAGAACGAACCCTTCCTCCCTCGGGCTGTCTCTACTAGGTGTTTGGTCACAGCAGCGCCACAGTACCTAAAGCAGATGTCAGCAGAAAGCTGGATAAGTCTCAGACTCATAAGAGCAGCTGAAGTTAAACACATTTCTAAGTCATTAACACAGAAGCAATGCTATCTACTGGGGTTTAGAATCTAGTTCAATGGCAATGCTCTGCACACGTGAGGTACTGGGTTCAGTCTCCAGCACATTTTTTTTTAAAGGGCTATTTATTTAAAGAGATCCCTCGGGAATGAACACAGAGAAAAGAAACCCTAGGACTGAGCCTGAAGGCACTCTCACCTTAGAAGATAGAGACAGAACAGGAGACAGAAAGAAACCAGGGAGCTAGTGGTTAGAAAAGTGCTGCTAAACTACTTCAGACACAGGAAAATGTGCCGCTCATAAAAATGGCTAAGTTGGACAGATGAAGAGGTCTGAGCTCCTTAAGAACAGCCCTAGGGAACATCACTTAGATATTGAATTAGTAATAAAGCAGGTTCAAAATTTCTAACGAAATATTAAAATGAAGATAACATTCCAGTAATACTGCACATTCAAATGAGAAGGGTGGCAGAAAGCAGCTCACTAAGTCACTTGACAACGTGCGGCACAGATCATGGCAGGCACAGAACAAGTCACCCCTTGCCCAGGACGCACAGCTATCCTGGAATTACAACAGGCAACTTCAAGTATGGAAAGTATGACCAAAGCCCACAAAGGAAGCACACACATACACTTCCTCCTCCAAACCCAGCTAAGGAAAACAGAAAGCAGTGCAGTATAGAATCAGAAGCGCAGAGGTATTTGCACTTCCTGTTCACAGGAACCTCGTGCGCAGCTGCTGCTGCTCTCCAGCAGGGCTCCTCAGTCACTGGTGGACAACAGCTCAATGGGGCAGCAAAGCAAATCCTCCTCCTCCAGACAGATCAGCCCAATTTACAGAGCAAAGTTCTACCTCACAGAGCGTTCATTAGACATTAGATATACCAGATGGCGGTACCTTTTAAGGATATAAACAAAACATTTAGCATACACAAAGAGGAAGTTCCAAATTCGCAAAAGACTACAAAAGCAAGTAACACTGACATTTTAAAAGCGGCATCACACACAAAGATCAAGAGGCACAGGGCAGCATAAAGGCTGAGGACAGATTCGAAGGACATGGAAGACTGACCTACTTAGAGACAAGTCCTATAACATGTCTTAGTTCAGATCTCCTGCAGTGACCACAGCTTCCCTCTAAACCAAAGGTCTACAGACACTTGGCTAATATTACTGACTTGATGATGTGTGTATGAAGTATCCTCCAAATGCTGAAGTGTTAGGGCCTTGGTCCCCAGCCTGTGGCACTGTTCTGGGAGGTTCTAGAAACTTTAGGAGGTAGGCCTAGCTGGAAGAAGATCAATCAATGGGTGGTGGAGGGGGTGGGGGGGCTTAGGGGCTATTGCCCAGTGCCTTCCTACTGATTCTTCTGCTTCCTGTCCATCAGGAGGTAAGAATCTCCGCTGCCACATGCTCCTGCCATCATGATGTCCTGCCCAAGCACTCAGGGCCATGAAAGCATGGACTGATCCCTCTGAGAGCATGAGCCAAAACAAAATCTTTCTTCCTCTCTCAGTTGTTTCTGTCAAGGATCTCATCGTATCAATGCAAACACCTAGTAAACAGTCACTTTTTCATGGTTTATGAAGATTTCACCTCATGGAGAATATAGCATAGTTCACTGGGACTGGGTCAGGCTCTAAACAAAACTAGAGAATCAGCATGTATTTCCCCAAATCAATGTGCAGGAGTCATATGTACAACATACAATCAAGTATTATCCTTAAGCTAGGTTTCATGAACACAGACACAGAGAATTGAGCCCACCAGTCATGAAAATGAAGTGGGACCCCTGAGTGAAAACAGCCACCCTTCTGTCACTGGGTCTCGAACTTCAGCGTGTGCCAGGACCAGAGGGCTTGTTCAAATAGCATTGCTGCCCCCCTCCCCCATGTGGCTTCTGAATAACAGGGCGGGATGGGGCCCAAGAACAGAAATTCTAACAAGCTTCCAGGTGATACTAACCTTCACTGTAATATTAGTATTCTGAGTCAGATGTTTGAAATAAAAAAGGTCTCATTGTAAACATAAAACTGTGTAAACTTTCATGCAGAAATCAAATAACTAGTTAACTAATTAAATCAGGATTAGAGATGGAGGCCAGGCTTGGTGGCTCCCATCGATGACTCAGCACTCAGAAGGTCAAGGAAGAAAACATCAAGTGTTCAAGGCCTGCCTTGGCTATGTAAGGCTCTGTCTCAGAAAAACAAAACCGAAATTTAAAAAAAAGATTAAGAGTCAGGTAAAAATACAATAAAAGAGAAAAAGGCCCAAAGCAAACAGGAACTGCATAATATCCTTACTGTAATTCTTAGGGACGCAGACAGTCTCACGTGCAGTTTAATACCAACCATTTAGCTAGCCCACAGATGTTCAGGGACTAACTTGGTCTCCAAAAATGCTACCTAATATATTTGATCAGGTCTAACAACTAGTTCCTCAGCCATTCTCCTAACTCCAGTACAAAGATTATTAACAATGTACACTTTAAAAAAAAAATCTACAGATGTAAAAGAGCTATAAAACTAGCTAGACAGAGTTGGAATACAATCTAATGGGCTGGGGTAGAGGAAAGAGGGTGCGTATCGCTTTCTTTCAGTCTCAAGACACTGAGATTATACAAAAATCTTAAAATTCAAGAGCTACTGTACTTACTAGTGACAATCCTAGGTATTTTATCCTGCAGTAAAATAAACAATCTTCTACTTGAATGTCAAAGATGTACTGTGCTCAACCATACAATATTAGGTTCATGTAGATTATGAAAAACCCCTTGCAATAACTCACAAATGAGAAACCATTTCATAAGAAAGCATGCTAGTCTTTGGACTACAACTCACCAAACACTTACCAAGATATATGCAGCCAAAGCCACCTTGACCAATAGGCAGCCCTAGCTTCCACTCCTTTTTGGACATGTCGGTTATTATCTCCCCAGCCGCAAACTGTTCTGCAAGGCACCTCTTGGGAGGGCCCTGTCGTCCAGCTTTAGCTGCTTTTACACGAGGCATTTTCACTCTGATATAAAACAAAGCAATGCTCATAATTAGAAGTATTTAAAAAAATTCCCTACAGAAGATTTTTATTCAACAAGGGCTGTTCAAGTTCCTACTTATCCCTAAACTGAAGGATATCTGTTAATTCCGGTCTATAACAGCACAAATTCTATTTGATCAGTTCTCAACTTTGCAGAGGAGGCAATAAATAAAATGTTCTACACAATTCCTTTCAAGAGAATATGTAGTTTTAAGCTCCAGTAGCATCCCAGGAGCTACTGTGTGAGGCTGAGGGAAAGGTGTGCACAGTTAGTTAGACAGTGTCCTGGAATGCAGTCAGGAGGCCCTAATGGTCAAACTAAAACCCAACAGACTAAACACAAGGACAAAGGGCAGGGACACACAAGGCATGAAAGGAGGTGCCCTGCACATCTCCCATTCATCCTCAAGCCTGTGGTTAGTTGGCACTATCATTTCCCTGAATAGACGAAGAATTTTAGGCTCTGAGAGAGAAGTGGAGTGGGCACAGCAGAAAACCAGGAGAGCTCCTGGTTCGAGGGCCTCAGCACCTTGCTCCACAAGAGCAACAAGAAGGAATCGGCTGTTTAGTGGCCTGAGCAACAGGAAAGGCAAAGCCAGTGGACCCTGCGCTGCAGTGCACCCTTCGCACTGGTATCCTACGGAAGCTAGCTCACTTCCCTCAGAACACAGCTAACACAACAGTGCGGAAATGGTATCTGCTGGGGACTGCACTGGACTGGAATCAGAAGGCTTGGCTCAAATATGTCACTGGTTAGACAGGACTCTCGACTGAGTCTGTCTCTAAGCTTCAAAGTTCTTCAGGAATAACTCCCTTCATCACATCAAGAATTCACTGTGCAAAGAGATAAAAACATATACACTTGTTAGATGATTTCAAACTCTTCAGTCTATAAATATTAATTGAAAAGGATTTGCCCAAGATTTTACAGTTACCTAAAGAAATGAAGGAGATACTCGGGAGGCAGAGGCAGGTGGATCTCTGAGTTCCAGGCCAGCCTGGTCTACATAGTGAGTTCCAGGACAGCTAGGACTACAGGGAGACCCTGTCTCAAAAAGACAAAAAAAAAAGTAGTAGAGACATAGGGAAGAGAGGGGAGTGGTTAAGACTGTTAGATTAGCCTGCAATACTTAAAATGTTATTTAAATTAAGATAGTCTATTAAGATGTGACATAAATTTACATTACATAAGTTATTCAATTTTGAACCACAATGGTTTTAATATACACTATATTAAAAGATTTACTTTTTGCCAGACATGGTGCTATACACCTTTAATCCTAGCACTCAGGAGCAGAGCCAGGTGGATCTCCTTGAGTTTTAGGCCTGGTCTATATAGAACTGGTCTACATAGCCAGTTCCAGGCCAACCACAGTTACATAGTAGGACCCCATCTTCCAAAAAAGTTTTTTATTACTTTTTAAATTACATGCATGTGTGTGTCTATGTGTGTGTGTGCCATGTGCATGCCATGTGTGTGCAGCTTTCCAAAAAGGCCAGAAGCATCAGATTTCCCTGTACCTGGAATTACATGCAGTCATGAGCCACCCAGTGTAGGTGCTGGGAACTGAATTTGGGTCATCTGCAAGAGCAATATATGCTCTTGACTGATGAACCCCTATTCCCCGCAGTCACTGTATTAAATAGGAAATGTTTAGCAAATACCCATTATCACCACATATACACACATTCCATATATGCAAACAAAGGCATTTAATTAACTTATTGGGATTTTTTTCAATTTAACTTTTCCCTAAAAATACTTTAGTGAGGACTTGAGAGATAGATCAGCGCTTGCAGAGGACCCAGGTTGGATTCCCAGCACCAACATGGAGGCCAATTACCATCTGTAACTCAGTTCCAGGGGAATCCAACACCCTCTTCTGACTCCGCAGGCACCACACGACACAGGTGCACTCACGCACATGCAGGCAATACACTCACACACATAAAATAAAAATAATATTTTTAAGTACTTCTGTGTATTTTCACAATTTAAAACTTGAGGCAAAAAGCAGCTTCAAGCAAATGAACGTGCTGCTGGAGTGTCCTCGTACCAATTCTCTCGATGTGCGTGCCCCTAACCCACAGTAAAATCTTGCCCAGCTGAGTTTTTTTCAGTGGCAGCCATGACAACCCTGACTCAAAACAACAAAGATAAGCTTTTCCCTACAGTGGTGACCCAACTAAAAGATGTGAACTAACACAGTAGCTCCAAATACTAACATGGATGTCTTCCCAATTTTATCCTACTTTATCACATCACCATAGCAATCTCTATTGATGATTTCCTTACAGCAGTCAAAACAGGTTAAACAACTTTAAATTTTTCTTTCTGTAACTGAAGTGTATGGACAAACATGATTTTTTTTTCTAGAATTCCTTTCTGTATGTACCAAAAAGACCATATTGTAAATGAAATCTCTGACTCAGCATCTTCTTCATACAGATTTGTGGTCAATAAATGTGCTTTCCTCCAAATAAACCTAATGGTTTTTATTTTTAGTTTTATCTCCTGTAGCCAACTGTTTGAAATTTAGTGTAATAATTAAGAGTTGCAATGTCATTTCTAAAGCCAGTTCCATAAAACAGCTTTGCCTGCCTGGTGAACTCACAAACCAGGGCTAGAACCCAGAACTCCCAAAACTAACGAGCCAGGGTCCACACAGGACAAAACCTCAGGCCAAAGAGAAGATCTGAGGACACACCTAAGGAGAGCATCACAAGGAAAATGAAACAAAGCCAGATTTGAGTTTGCCTCCCAGAACACAGCACAAAGCTGCACACAGAGGAAAAGGAAAGTGTGTCCTGCGAAGTGCAGCTACAACTGCTTCAAAACAAGACAAGGCTTTCAGCTGGGTGTGGAGGCCTTGTGGACTTGCATGAACACAGATGAGAAAAGTCATCTCACTGCTACTTTAGTTGTCCAAGGTCAAACAGGGTCCAAAAATATTAAACAGAAATGTTAATTTAATAAGAGATCAGGGATGTCATCTAATTACAGCAGTCCTCTCTTATCTTGGCTTCTGGTCTTTTAGGAACCCACACATTTACATGGCATGCACATAGCACACACACATAGAAATAAATAATTCATGAACTCTAATCCTTCATGTCATTCTAAGTATCGTGATGTATCTCAAGCATCCCCCTCTGTCCAGGCACAGACATGATCGGCATTCTAGTACATCCATACTCTATATGCTACCCTCCCATTAGTCACAGGAGCCATCTCAGCCATCAGATTGACTGAGATCACAGTGCTTGTGTGTTCAAGACAGTCCACAGCTTAACAGCACATCCCAATGCTTACTTCACTCATGTTACTTCATCTCATTAAGTGGCACATTTCCACTGCGTATCACAGGACTAGTGAGTACAGGGAGATATTCTGAGACAGAAACCACATTCTCCTAACTTAGTGAAACACACTCTAAGACCTTGCAGACTGCCTGAGGGTACCTGGATCCAGCCTCCACGCGGTGGTGAGCTTCCCAAATCTCACCATGCCCAACCCCCTATAGTCCATCCCAATACCCCAAGCTAGGCTTCTCTGCCCTTCAGTTGGGGCCCAGACCTTTGCAGACTGCCTGAGAGCACCTAAATTAGGCCTCCCCTTAGCAAGCTTCCCAAATTATGCTGTGACTGCTTGCTAGTAGGGGCCCAGACCTTAGGAGGAAGTCCAAGAGTACCTGACTGGTACCTTACTTGGGTGCCTGACTTGGGCCTCTGCAGGAGCTCCTGAATAGCTGGATTGAAGCCATCTGGTCTCCAATATAAAATCAAAAGAGAGAACCTGAAACCTAGACCAACCAGCTTTACATACCCAGTAAGAAAACAACCAAGGCACACCAATAATACAAAGAGAAGCAGACTTCAACTCAACAAGGAAGACTTGAGTTTCATACCAGAATCACAAATAACAAAAGAAATTCACATGCCAACATCACAACACAAAAATAATAATATGGAAAATCAAAATAATATGTTCCCATCAAACACCACCAGTCCTCTAGAAGAGTTCTATAAGGAGAACCCCCTAGAGATAACCCAGGACACGGAATTTAAAAGAACAATTATAAAGAAGATCAAATAATTCAACAAATTTAAAGAACACACAAACAAATCAAAGAACTAAAAGAAAATAGGGATTTCTCACTGAATTCACAAAAGAGAAATACTGACAAAAACTCAGGTTAAAATGAAGAAGGACATAAAAATTCAATTACGCCCATTTGAAACAACAGGAGAAAGCCTTGCTGAAAGAATAAAGGAAATGAAAAATAGGTATCAACACTGGACAATAAAGCTGAAGAACTGGACTGCTCAAGCAAAGATTATGAAAAAATTTTTAAATCCCAGAATGGAGTATGCAGGAAATGTGGGACATCATAAAAAAGACCAAATCTACGCATTAGAGGCATAGGAGGAGAAAATTTTCAGGTTAATCGTATTGACCAGATCTTAAACAGAATTATAGAAGAAAATGTCCCCAAATTAAGGAAAGACGCGCTCTTACAAATACAAGAAGCACATACAACACCAAACAGACAGGACCGGAAAACTCCCAACAGCACATCACGGTAAAAACACTAAATGCACAGAACAAACAGAGAGCACTGAAAGCTGCGAAAGAGAAACAAGTCACGGAAAACCCATCAGAATTACAGCTGACTTATCAATGCAAACTATAAAAGCCTGAAGAGCCTGGACCAAGGTATTCTTCGTTCTAAATGACCACAAATGCCAACCCAGAATACTTTACCCAGCAAAAAAGTCTATTATAGTCAAAGGGGAAAAGAAAAATCTTCCACTACATGAACAGGCGGAAAGAATACAAGTCCACAAGATGAGCCCTTTAGAGAGTTCTTGACATAATACAAAGGGGAAAAGAAGAGGAACTATGCCCCGGGGACAACAGAAAGAAACTAAATGAAGGTGTAACTGTGGAAACACAGAATGAGACAAAGAATGCAAACAGA